GCTACTTCTGTGCATGTCACTGTCAGAACCATTGCATGGGATAAAGCGGCTGACAGGAATCGTCAGATTCGCAACCCGACTGCATCGGTACAACCTACCGCCAGAAGTCTATTGACTTTGTCGATCGTGAGACCATGAAAGCTTCGAATTCTCGCGCAAGGTGCAACTTCCAAGCACATGCTATTGTAAGAGTTGGTGTATTGCTGTCGGTCGTGTGTCAAGGGTTGTGCTTGTCTGACTCGCGATGCGTGCAGCAGAAGCCTGAGGGAGGGAGGTTCTTTTCTCACCAATATTGCACGACCGTTCTGTCCTTCAACGTGCTCCACTTGCCCGGACTGCCAGTGCCCGGCAAGAACCTCGGATATTTCTGTTGTTTGATGTTAGCAGTTGACATATTGCACTTTTCATCCATTGGCCAGCTTTTTCTGAGACGATTAGGCATCTTGCGCACTGCCGACTTGGCTGACGCTTCGAACGTATATTTTTGACTCGGCGATACCATAGGCCTTGCCCGGATCGGTTAATTTTGTGTGAAAAATGAATTCGTGTTATCTTTGCCTTGTCCATGATGGACCGCGACAACGATGGCCTGGCCAAAGGAGTCTGAGCCGTAGAGTCATTCATTATAAGAATGAAGTGTTGATGAGGCTCATCTGATGGACGTCGACTAACCTATTAGTCTCTCTTGAATGCGCCCGTCGAGTGCATCGAGAGAAGCGTTTTCGCACTCGGCCTTTATCTCGACACACGATGAGCGTCGACGCCCCCTCTTACGACTTGCTCACATCGACACGGTTTGACCCGCTGCTGCTCACCTTGCGATGGAACAACGATGTGTACGGCAGTTCTCCATATCTGCTCCTCCCGTTCCACTACGACCGCCTCCGCAAAGCTTCTGCTCTCCACGGGTGGCGTACTGCCCAAGCCAGCCTCTCGTATCCCAGTTTCAAGGCCGCATGCGATGCAGTCGTCGCCGAGCAGAGGTCCAACCCAGGTTCTCCTGTGGCCCTAAAGGTATGCGTCCTTAATCTCTCACGCGTTTCACCTCGCACTCATCGTGGCGCGGTCGGCCCGCCTTCCATCGTTTTCCTAGCTCCGTATAACACTCTCCCGAGAAGGAGAACTCCATGTCACGGCGTCGCCAGTCGCGCCACTCACTTCTGACCCTACCCATGCCGCACTCCTGAAGGTTACAGACAACCCCCGCCTCTTCGGCAAAGTGCTCGACCTGCGTATTGACACCCAAAGCTCATCTACGTCCTCGCTTTTCACCTCAACAAAGACCACATATCGCCCTGTTTACGACGCGGCGCGTGTCCGCGCCTGCATCCAAGACGGCGAGAACATGGACGTACTCATGTATAACGAGCGCGGCGACATCACGGAGACTTCCATATGCAATATCGCTTTCTCGCGCGGTGGCCGTTGGGTCACCCCGCCCCTATCCAGCGGCTGTGTCCCTGGTGTCCTGCGCCGCTGGCTTGTTGAGCAGGGTCGTGTCACCCAAGCACCTGTGCGCAAGGATGATGTCTGCATCGGCGAGTATGTTCTTTTGTTCAATTCCGTGCGGGGATGCAGGTTTTCCAAGGTCAGAAGTGTCGACGCTGTCGCTTGTACATGAATCGTCGCTCGCGCTCACAGCCATCCCGCCATATTTGGACATTACTGTATCACACACGGAACTATATATGTAATATATAATATGTCTTTGGGACAGTCGAGAGGGGTGGCGATAAGTAATAGTCTTTCGTTATTTGGGGCTACATGTGCATCTTTTTTTCTTCTGCTATATACACGCTCTCTCTACCTTATGAAGTACAAACCGGCTATGCTGTAGTATCGATATCCATTGCTATATCGTCTGCATTCTCAAACATGCCATCATCCATCTCGTTGAGCACGTAGTCAACCATGTAGCTTTCCTGCACGAGACGCTCGATGCGATTAAGATGCCGTTCCGTATACGGAATGAGCGCCTCCATTAGCTCACGGATGGCCGTTGGTCCTGCGCCTGTGGCCCTGCTGGTCTCGACCCCATCCATAAAGCTGTCCTGCTGGGCCTCGGCGCCGAAGGCGGACAGGACCTCTTCTGCCGTGCGCAACTTCATGATGGCAAACAGTACTTCCTGAGCAACTATACTTGTTTTGGCGTTGGCATTCCAGTCGCGCGCGTATCGCATGAGCTTCGCAAGATCGGGACCTTCCAGAGTTCGGAACACTTCGTCCACCGAAAAACGTCCGGTTATCGACCCCGCATCTTCCTTATTCGCTGACGAACGCAGGTCCTTAAACAGCGACATCAGGCGCCCCGGTTGACCTAGCGATAACGCAAGTTGTATGGCTTTGCGGTAATCATGTAAGGAAAGGTAATTTAAGAAATCTTGTTCCCTAGGAAGGTTTATTCAATCATGGGATGTTAGCCGAAAAGCTAACTCACTGTTGGACGAGAGCTTCGCGATTCTCTTCTTTCGCCTGCTCTTCTTCAGCTGTACAGTCTTCCCAGAAGGTGACAACTGAGTCTGCAGCTGCGGAGACAATGGTCTTCTCGTCATGACTGACAGCTAGAGCCCATATCTGTAGAAGATGTCAGTAAAATTGCATCCTTCCCAGGCAAATTGGGGGTGAAAACCTTGTCCGTGTGGTTGTCAAGCGTCGTCACGCACTCCTCTTCTCGGACATTCCATACTTTCACCAGACCATCTGAAGCTGAGCTGACCAGCTGCATGCCGGCATTGAAAAAGTCGACACGGAGTACAGAGTTCGTATGTCCCTCAAATGTCTTCACACAAGAAAAGTCACTGAGGTTCCAGAGCTTCACGGTCTTGTCGCTGCTACCCGTCGCGAGGACACGCTCGGCACGGCCAAAGCGCACAGTCCAAACACCGCGCTTGTGACCGCGGCACGTGCCCACCAGACGTAGTTCCCCGCGCGGTGCACTGCCAACGGTGTATTCGATCGCGAATATCTTCGCCGTACGGTCCTGCGAACCAGACACGAGGAAGCGGTCATTGGGCGCGACGTCAAGCGCATTGATATCCTTGTCATGTGCCGTCTGTGTCGCGAGACTTGTGCAGCGCACAGGTTCGGCACCAGGCACCGCTGTCTGCACAGCCGACAAATCCCACATTTTGATCGTGCGATCTTGGCTGCCGGTAAACATGAAGCGCAAACCGCCCTCGGCGGACCGCGCCATGGCAAGCGCACCGATGCTTTGTGTATGGCCATTGCACACAGCGATGCAGGTATATTCCCAGTTGCCTTCCGTGCGTGGAACCCACAGCCGTGCAGTCTGATCTTTGCTACCACTTGCGAGGACACGTCCATCGGCATCGTGGTCCAGTGCAAGCACAATGTCGGTGTGGCCGTCGAGAAGACGTGAGTCCAGTGTCGTGACATCATAGATACGAATGAGCGACGAATTTGTCGCAAGGGCGACATGAGTGTCTCGGCGATCTTTCGAGGGAGAAATGTATGTCAGGTCAACTATTTCGTCGTTAAAGCCGATGATTTGACGCATCAGTGTCCGCGTGGATAATGAGTAGAATAAAATATTTTGATCTGCGTGGACGGACGCGACGACAGATTGTGAAGGGACGTATCTAAAAAGACGCGTGAGAAGCCATTTCAACGTTCTGAACAAAGCAAAGCACATACAAGATCTGCATGATTTGTCGTTGCTCGTCCTCGCCGTCCGACAAATGTCTATACTCATTCCCCAATGAATATAACAACTTGCCGGAGTGCAAATCCCAGATTTTCACTGCGCCGTTCTCACCACCAGTGTAGAAGCGGACCTGGTTCGCCGACGCACTCGTTGACGCATCATCGTGAGTCAAAAAGCCAACTGCTTCCACACGCTCGAGCACGGGAATTGTCTTTACCGGAGTAGAACCAGAAGATTTTTGTTTGGCTTTGCCTTTTGAGGGCTTGCTTGAGCGCTGGGTCGCCTCAGACGAGAGATCCCACAGCAAGACAACTGAGTCACGTCCACCGCTGAGCAACCACCGCCCGTCCTGCGAGATGTCAAAGCCGCGCGGGACGGAGACGTGGCCCTCCAGAACCGCGTCGGGCCTGGTCACACCAGCCGATTTGTTTGCATTGGAAGTCAGGTCGAAGATACGTATGCGCGTATCTACAGAGCCTGTTATGATTTGCATGCGGGTAGCCTGGAATGCGGAGGAAGGGTCATGCTGGACGTGAAAAAGCAATGCGCTGACAACACCGCCATGTCCTTTGAAGACGTGCGTGATGTAACCGCCCACGATGTCCCAAATTTTAACAACACCGTCGGCGGAGCCCGAAGCCAGATACGTCGACGAGGGATCGGTCACGCAGACGTGCACTGGGGCATCGTGTGCCCGTGCGGCTACACGAACAGGCTGGATGGTCCCTTCAATGTCACCAGGAAGCTCAAATATCCGCAGTGACAGAGAGGAAGTGAACACAGCTACATGTCGAGCAGATGGCGACACATACAATGCTGACACTGGCTCGGTATCCTGAAAATGACGTGGGCATGAAGGCACAGCAAAATGGTCGGTATAGATATACGCACACTAGCTAGCCGGCCAAGCTCAGCGCCACTCGCCACATCGCTCACGATCACTTCATCGTGAACGCAAGTAAGAAGGCGTCGACCGTCTGACGTTACAGCAGTGGGTCCTCCTGTGTACAACGACGTTACACTCCGCACTTTCTTGAACCTGGAAGATTTGTAAGTCACGGATTCGTAGCAAGTGCTTGCTAGAAATGGCGTACGCGGTCTTTAGTTTCGGGGCAGCGCTAGCCATGATTAAATGGGCGCGCGCATGTACCTCAAGTTCGTAGCTGCGCCGTCACCACGGGCACGAGGGCAACTCAGAGACTTTGAAAGCGAGAAGAATGCTCTGGTTAGCAGCGAGATTAGCGTCGACGGAGGATTGAAGGCTTTTGATCGAATTTTGAGATCTATGTGCGACAATCATTGTACTAAATTCAGAGTTCTTCTTGTTTGCTATACCACACCAGTGGTGAAACGGTTATCATGCCTGCCTTCCATCTTATGGCATGTAATTTGTAGCAGGCGGCGGGGGTTCGACTCCCTCCTGGTGTATATGTGTGCTAGTTTGACAAATTAGGCTTTTCTTTTAATCAATTGCAATTTTTGTTTCCAGGTCTCGACAACAGACAAAATCCGTTTCACAAAAAACGAATATTGAAATATGTTTTGCATTGCATTGGCCTACAAATTATGACTTCGCACCGTCGGCCGTTTTGTTACCTCTGCTTGCACTGTTCGTGTTACCCCCAAGATTCAGAATATCATCCATGTCCATCCCTTGCACATTTGCCGAGGGTGCAGGGTCTGCAGGAGCGCCAGAAGCATTGTCAGGTCCGAGTCCAGGTATCCCTATATCGCTCATATCAATATCCAAAAAGTCCATCATGCTCGCGTCAAATCCTCCGGTGCTGTTTCCACCAGAGAACTGATTCGCAGCGGTCCCATTGAATGATTCTGGATGGCTCTCATTGGCGAAAAGTCCATCATGGTTTATCCCGTTGAAGGACCCCGCAGTGCTGCTGCCGTTGAAGTTTAGCTCGGGGTGGTTGGCTGCCAACGAAGCAAGCAACGATTGAGGCAAGGGTGCAGCGGCATTAGATGCTTCTGCAGGCGCGGGCTTCGGCTCAGCAGAAAATAAATGTGAATCAACGTCCAGGACATCAAGGATACCATCAGGCGGGACATCCCCTGCCGGTGCCTTTGCGTCACTCTTGTGGTCCCCCTCGAGCCTGGGAGTGAAAAGACCGTCTGTGTCATCCATATCTCCAAGGTTCTCCATGTCAGCATCGGTATTGCCTAGATTGACCATGTCGATGTCCATATCGAGTTCGATAGGCTTATCGGCAGTGCCGAGGGTGTTCTTGGGAAGTACGGGCGAATCGTCCAGGGTCAGGTCGATAGTGTCGATATGGTGAGGTGCGGCATTCATCTCCATGTGTGGGGCAGCAGCGCTAAGCTGTGAGATGAACTCGAACGCCTCAACGCCTGGCTGGGCGGATCGCGGTGCAAGTGTGATGGGTGACGGCAGTCCGGTCTCAAAAAGTGCTGAGGAGGGAACAAGCGAAGCCGATGCAGCATCGTCGGTCGGAACGCGGAAGCTAGCTGATGAGAGGTCGAGTTTGTGGGGGAATGGGTTACGCTGTAAGGATGAGATAGAGATTGTAGAGCCGCGACGGCCCTTGAGTGGCAGTGGAGCAACTACAGGGCTTGCTGTGGGCGTTGTGAGATTTGGTAGAGCTGACGTGTCGGTCGGAGGAGAGCGTGCTGGAAGGGGAACGCGTGCTGGCAAGGGAGAGACAGCCGGCGATGCGGCGGTCTCGCGGGCAATGCGCTCCTCTTCCCTCGTCAAGTCTCGTTGCAAGACAGCGATAGCACGTAGCTAGATGGAATGTCAGTTGACATCGACAGACTCACAAGCTGCGTACAAGTTGGGTCTCAATGGCATCACACAGCTGGTCGTATTTCTCCACCTCTCGGCCGAGGGAAGCAACTAGAGACTGCGGCGGACGCGGTGCATGTGTTTGTATATTGCTGTGGGGTGTCACAGAGCGCTCAATGGTTGAGTCCTTTCATTGAACATGGGGACATACAGTTTGTGCGCGTCGGCGTAGAATCTATATATCTGGCCCGTCTTCACTGCTGCATTCTGCGCCTGCTCAACAAGCACGACCCCATCCCCCAAACATTGCCACTCACCTTCAGACACGTCGACAGCGCATCCACCTCTGGCTCGAGGATGCCGTCGGGCTGCGGGGGCGGGGGCATGGCGTTGGCTTCCTTTCCTTCCTTTCTGGCGAGGTTGGGCGACGACGTTGAGACCTTGCGAGCGACGGCGTCGGATGACTTACGCGCACGACCGCGACTGGCTGCAGCTCCCTTGGGTGGCATGGCTTGTGCGAATTTATATGTCGTGACGGGATTCGCAGTGACGAAGAAGCGGATTGGTGCTCGCTACTATGTATTTTTATAAGCACTGACGGCGAATGTCGCTCACGGCGAATGTCAAGCTCAGCTGCGCACATCATCCGTTATATAATTCATGGGCACCACTCCGTGTTCCGTGGCCATTGGATTATTCTTAGAACATCCTGTACTTCCACTCGATACCAAGCACGACAGAGTTGTACGCTCAAGTTCAGATCGACATGGCTTCCCCAAGGCTGGGGACGCCACGGATCAGATTCAGGCTCTCCGATTTCGAATTACCCTGCCGGAACGGTGTAGTCAGCACCGACATCTGCGACAAGCGAGCCACCCAACGGACACAGCGTGGCCAGTCCTTACAAATATTCGACGACGACACGCTCCGTCACCTACTCACTCTTTATATAAGAGCTTGTTGGTTTAGGTGCCACGTACAGTCGTACTCTTGTGACCGACCATGGCCAGGTCCGTCATCCTTTCATCTCTCCTTGGGATGACGTTCTAAACTCGGAGAAAAGCCTGTTAGAACATCTACAACCAGCCATACGCGCTTTCCGTGCCATTGTGCCAGAGCAGAAGGATCGCATACACATCAACGCTGACCTCGATGGTCTTGCATATATTCCCTACATGATCATCGGATATTTGCCGCTATGGTACATGGCCTATCTCGCGCGACGACCAAACACGCATTTTCTACGAATAATGATTCTACCCATCGCAATGCTATCTGCCGTGGCGTCTTGTAAGTCTCGAAACATATCGTGGTCGCCGTCGTGACGCGTTCCCTCAGCTTGCCGATATTATTTCAACAGCGAGCCGAACATAATGCTCGGGCTTAACTGGAGTACAGGTACTCCACTCAATTTCTCGTCCCGTTTACACGTGCTAAATGAAACGGCTAGGCTTGCTCGCCCTCGTAGGGGTGGGTCGCGCCATTCGCTACGCCATACCTAGAAAGGGAATTTTGAAGGTAGGAGAGATTGAGCCCGGTCTCTTCAAGGACGGAAGTACGAGGGAGCAAATTGTATCCTGGGCTCCCGCATGGCTATATGACAGTGTAGAATTACTTGCTACAGGTCGTGGCCTGGGCTGGGAGTTCGGCGAGGGAGTATACATTCCGCCGTACAATAAACCTCTAGAAAGAAACGCCTTCCTGCGTGCAACGTGCTTGGAGTTCGCCAAGTACTTTTTCACCTACGACATCCTGGAAACCTTCCTCAAACTGTTTCCCGGCGTCGGTTCCCCCGAAGGAGGTAGCATGTACTATTCCAACTTAGCTCCCGTTCCGCGCTTCCTCGTTGCAACATGCATTCACAGCGCCATGGGCTACTTCGTTTACGCTATGTTTCAACTGTACTACTCCTTGTTCGCACTTATCGGCGTCGGGCTCTGCAGGAGCGATCCAGCATCGTGGCCGCCGCTGTTCTCTAGCCCTCTGTTCTGCGCATCTATGCATGAGTTGTGGGCGCAGGGCTGGCAACAGCTCCTCCATCCGACCTTCTACGTGTGGGGCGGTTATGTGGGCGAGATGCTCTTCGGTCGCCTCGGCCTGCTGGCCGGTACCTTCTTCGCCTCTGGCTTGTACCACGAACTATCGTTCTATACGGTCGGCCGCGGCCTCGACTCGGCACCGTTTGTATTTTTCATGCTGCAAGTGCCTATCTTGCAGTTAGAGCGACTGTGGCGGCAAGTGACGGGCAAGCGTGTCGGTGGACGTGCTGGTCATCTGTGGGTCCTCTTTATCATGTTCGTTGTCGCGCAGCCCATGAGTATGTTTCCTCATCTTTGAATGTGCCAGAGCTAACAAACTGTCGTATTTAGTTGATTCGTGGTTGAAACGGGGGTATGCGGGTTGTCTGATGATACCCGCAGTTATCAGTCCCGCGCGAACACTACTTCGGTGGCTCGGATACTGGCCGCAGGCCTGGTAGATCTGAGTACCGGTCATCCACCTACATGCATAGAACGATTATTGCTGAAGCTTTTCATGAGTACGAGACCTCCAAATTGATGCCTTTAGACGCATCGAGAAGAGATGTGTCTTATATTCCAACGTTTTGTATATGAGAACAGTCCGTCATCTATACTACGATGTCACATGTAATGCCTACTGTACTTAATACGGCCCGTTGCAGGTGTGTGGGGAGAAATGAAACTCTGCCACCACTATGCAAAGGAATACATCGATAGTTGTACATCGGTTTAGAAGCGAGCTGAGCAGAGAAGGTCAAGGGGCGAAAAGGTCAAAGGGTGGAATGGGACGGCGGAGGTGGGTAAACAAAAAAAAAAGTCGATGAGAATACCGAGTGACGAGGTGAGAACTAAAATAAATCTGAGAAGCTGGCGAAGAAGAGAAATGATACCTGAGCAACAAGGCGAGAATGGCATGAACAGCATTTGCTACAGTTCATACCCAAAATCGACAATATTTTTTCCATTTTTGATAGATTTTCGTCAACTGAGCACAGAAAAACACAAGGTAAACGGATGTCTTTGAAAAGACGCTTGACAATTTCCTCCCAAAATTATAATACCTACCCTGTATATTGTGTCAGGTGATGTCCTGAGATACTGTAAACAGTAGCACCAATTTTGGCAATTGCAAGAAATTCTTTTGCAGCACAATTTCATACATTTCCAATCACGCATTCAACAACGTAGTACATTTGTTAGTTCGCACACTTCCAGACCTCTAGAACCCAGTCTTTCCTTCAACGACGCCATACGCACCGCCGTTCTTCCCAAACATAGCGAACAAGTCGCCAGAAAGCAATTTAGGTGTCTGGTAAGCTGCGAAGTGCCCACCTTCATCATGATCTCCCTCGAGCACCACATTTCCATTCTTGAGGTACCACGCACGAGGGGGGCGCATGAGTTCACCAACAAAGAAAGAGTACCCAATGGGAACGGACAATGGCTCTTTGGGAATGGCCGGAAGAGGGATGATGCCGCCGTTGGTTGTTTCGTAATAGGTGCGCACAGAAGCACCGGGTCCGGCCCGTGAGAACCAGTAAATCGACACCCATGTCAGTACTGAATAATATTGGAAACCGTTAGTCCGCATTTTGCAGTAGCTTGTATAACCACAAGACGAGCAAGCAATACCTTCGTCGTCATCCCAGACA